AACTTCCTCGCAGTCAGGGAAGATGGTCATCGTGATTCGACTGTTGAAACTTCCATTCTTATCTTGGGTGGCTTATTCACGAAGTTCAAGCCCAAGGGCTCTATTTTTGTTGCCGCAAACTAGGGTCCTTAGTCTGTGATCTTCTCTCCTACTTCGCGGTCTGCTGTCTTGGCCAAGATCTTTCCCGTCCAGGCTGTGATCATCAACCTCCTGCCCATTTCACTACACTTGTGCCCATTTCGTACCTAATTCACATGTATCGTCTAAAGCACCCTTAAAATCACTATATAATCAAATAGGAATGAATAGGGGTGCAATCGATGATATTCTTCTGATTATGATCATGAATTAGCACGAAACAAACCTAAATATGAAGGGTAAATATCACCAATTTGAGTGTTATCAAACTCCTCCACACTTATGAGTTTGTTTGTCCCCAAGCAAACCTACTCAAACTAGTGCAACTTGATAAACATATCAACACTGCACTCTAGTTCTTCATTGCAAAGAATAGTAGACGGAGACTCGTAAACATTACTATCATCTTACTATGAAAACACAAACTCCTTGGCGAGGACCATCCCTACTACCTCGGGATGAACATTCAAGGCGTGCACCGGGGGACTTATCAACAAAAATTGAGCACATTATTATCAGACGTGTGTCTAGCCAACTACTTTTCGTTGTCTAGCCAACTACTTTTCTTTCCCAAATTCTAAAAAAAGTTGATTCCATTTTAGATACTTATACTGATAAAACAAACGAGCTGGTTTACATTGATCCAATGAATGAGCCTGCATTATCAGTAATTATAATTTGGGTAAATACAATTAAATAGCCAAATCTTTCATTTTAAACAATATAATAGCCAAACCTTTTCAAAAACAATTTAATAGTCAATCCGTTAACTTTTCGTCCAGTCAACGGCGGTTAATAGACTCTAAAGTGGAAACTCAACAAAATGACGTGACAAACAATCACTTTTTTAATATTATAACACATTGTTGTTCTTCAAATAAATAAATAAAAGATAAATCCCTAGCTCTACCTCGTCAATTTGTGATCCGTCCTCGCTGCCACCTCCTCCTTACTTCACCAACGCCGGCGATTTCCTAATTATACATAGATGATTTTATCACTATTAATAGTCGTCTCTCAACCTCCAATTCGTCAAATTAACGATTACCAATTACAAAAACTTGAGATGTCTCCTCTCCTCCTTTCTCCTTAATAATATCCTAATTCAAGACACTTCGCTTAGTCTTTTCCCCTTAAATTAAAGAATAAAATCTAATTTATATATTTAATTATTAATTGCAAAGATAATTAATTTTGTACTTGATAATACCGATTGGGATACCGAAATACCGATTGGGATACCAAAATATTTAGGGATTGGGATTAGGATACCGAAATTATTTAGGGATTGGGATTGACTTTAGGGTGTAATTCGGTAGGGAGCGAGCAAAAGGAGGATTTGGTTTCTAAAGTGGTGACGATAGGAATTGGGTTGGGGCTCGATCTGCATCATCATCTCCATCGCCAATCCCAGCCAGAAATCGTCATCATCAGTTGGGGTTGGAGGCCCTTCTCCTTCATCTTCGACCTTGGCTACTGAATCTCCAAATTCGTCGCCATCTGCTGGTGAGAGGGATTGCGTCGGTGAAATCAAATTTGTCGCCACGTAGCCGCAGTAGAAAGATGATGAGGCGGAGACGGCGGTGGGGTTGTCTTCCGCTGTCGCAAAGGAGTTCCCTGATTGAGAGAGGGGAGGGGAAGGGAAGAAGAAACAAGAAAATTTTTTTTTTTTTAACTTTTGCATAAAAATATAAGACTTAGTTGAAATTTATAATTATCTAGTCAAGTGTTTGATTTTGTGCCACATCATCAAATTCATTCCATTTCAGTAGTGATTTTGCCAAATTAAAATCAATTAACTGTTGACCAGACGAAAAGTTAACGGATTGACTATTAAATTGTTTTCGAAAAGGTTTGGCTATTATATAGTTTAAAACGAAAGGTTTGGCTATTAAATTGTATTTATCTTTATAATTTTAAGAATGTTCGTGACTTTCAAACTTGGAAGATTAATTCCTGCAACTTTAAACCAAAACTTCATATGGTGCATCTTTTCGCAAATAAAACACATGTGCATTGGCAATCTATATCACTCTAATAATGAAGTTGGTTTCCCTTCTAAGCTGCAACTTTTTCAAAACTGGGCCCTTTTTGCTGGGATTTTTCCAATTATAGCACTATTTAAAAAAAATTATAAAAATAGCACCCAACCAAAAAAATTTACACTAATAGCACCCTATTTTATGGACCGCACCTTAGAGGTGCGTTTTATATATAAAACGCATCCTCAGGGTGCGATTTATACTTAAACCGCACCTCTAAGGTGCGTTTGGCGCCAGGAACCGCACCTCCATGGAACGGTCTGCTTTGAGTGGGCAGCGGCCTTGCAAACCGCAGGATGGTGTGGCGATCCAGCGGGCAGGAGCAATGCCACGTTAGCGATCTGCGCCGTGGATCGCAGAACGCAGCGAGGAGGAGCGGTTTTGGAGCGTGGATCGCTGAGCGCATCGGGAAGGAGTGGTCAGCGCCTCGGGACGCGGAGACCGCATCGGGAGGGAGCAGTTTCTGCGTGTACGATGAGAAAGACACAGAAAAGTAGTACGTTAGTCAATTTTCGGCAGTTTAGTACAATTCGAACAACCCGGAGGTACTCTCGTTAGACTCTCAGGAGAGGTATACATCTCCTTAGAAACACAGCCTGTTTGACAGAAAAAGGGGGGATCCGAAGATCGCTTAAAATCCAATTTTCCCAAGAAATGGGAGGATCATGATAATCGCTTAAAACCCTATTTCCTTAGGCATACATCACTTTAGAAAGAGTCTAACAAGTGCACCACTCTTCTGATTACAAGATATTGTTAGCTGACAAAATTAAACGGCTAATAGAGAACTTACCAATCCACCACAAATTATCAGCAAGCTTCTTCCGCTTGAAATGATGGTTCCAGTTGCTCTTGAAGTGTCGTATGCACCACCTTTGGGACCACTTCCAGGCTGGATCTAAACCTAAGATGGCAGCTCTAATGCCGACGTGCCGATCAGAGATTATTGTCAGGTTCGTCCTCCTAGTGACGTGGAGCTGAATTTGCCAGAAAAACCATCCATAGCTATCAGCATTCTCTCCCTCAATGATGGCGAAGGCTAAAGGAAAGACTTGTCTGTTTGCATCCGCCCCACTGGCAATCAGGAGAGTGCCCTTGTACTTGCCGGTAAGGAATGTACTATCCACTTGGATCACAAGGACACAGTAGCCAAAAACATCAATAGATGGCTTGAATGCCCAAAAAAGTCGTCTGAAATGGCGCTTGTTACCTGGCTCTGGGGGTTGTATCTCTTCATCTTGGTATCGAGGGGAGAAAACCGTGCCAAGGTTAGACGCCTCCAATGCCAAAATTAACCTGGGAAGGAATGCATATGATTCTTCCCAATCACCAAAGACCGCGGCCAGAGCTTTCTGCTTTCCATGCCACGCCTTCTTATAGTTAATCATATAACCATAACGACTTGCAATGTCAGTGATTATGACTTTCACCTTCAGGTCCGGATCTTGCTCAATTATATGCTTGATAGCCGCAGCAACCACCCTAGATTTCAACTGTCGATGGCCTTGGTAACTTATGGATGACACACATGTGTGTGTGTTCACTGCACGGGATATGACCCAGTGGTCGTGTCTCTTGCTGTTGATGGCCCGAATCCTAACATTGCACCCCTCGTGATGATTACGGCATCTGACTATGAGCCTTTTAGTGTTGGAATGAGTTGTGTACCATTCAAAATGCCGAGTCATTGCTTCTGTCTCAATGGCATGCCGCACCTCCTTCTTCGAGCCAAATTGTTGCCCTTCATAAACCTAGTGAGTGGACCCCATATTGGGACCTTTGGCGGCTCCATGTCGCTGTCGACCATCCAATTGTCATCTGGAATGTGATTGTAGTAGGGGACTGGTACACGGTCACGAGCCACCTCATCATCATTAGCTGAGTCTGACTCTGGTCCTGAATCATCAGCACCTTCAAGAGGGTCGGAGCTGTCTGCACTGACGTTGTTCTCTCCTTCTTCATTGGAGGGGTCACTGACTGGTGCTGGTAGGGCATCCTCCATCTGATCCAGCTCATGAAAGGCACCTTCATCAGCTCCATAATGGTAGTTGTGAAAACTACCGCTGCTGAGTGGAAGTTGTACTGAGGTTGCTTGGGGAGGTCCGGTTGAACTTCTTCTTTATATGATTGATGATGACCTTCAACTAGTAGTCTTTAATACGCCTGCTTCTAGGGGTGGAAATCGGTACGGTATCCGTATCCCAATACCAAATACTGAAATCCCGAATACCGAATAATACCTTAAAATCAATCCCAAACCCAATCCCTAAATAATTGCGGTATCCCAATCCCTAAATATTTTGGTATCCCAATTGGTACCTTGATATCCCAATCGGTACCTCGGTATCCCAATCGGTATTATCGAATACAAAATTAATTACCTTTGTAATTAATAATTAAATATATAAATTATATTTTATTTTTTTAATTTAGGTCAAAGAGACTAAGCAAAGAGTCTTGAGTTGTCTAGAGCTAACATCTCAAATTCTTGTAATTGGTAATCTTTAATTTGACGAATTTGAGTTTGAGAGACGACTAATACTAGTGTGAAATATTGATGTAATGATCTATGTATAATTAAATGACACTTTTGGTGGTTGAGGGTCGCGTAGTAGTGAATGAGAGAGTCTAGTTGAGAGGATAAAATACACATTAGCTTATATATCGGTATTGATCGGTATTTCAGTAATATACCCATCCCACTCCCGTAATCTCTAATATCAAACAACAATTGAAATTAAATCTCATTGCCAATCCCACAAAATAACACGTGTATTCGATAATACCAAATATAAACAAATTCAATACGGTATTGGGTATATCCCAAACACCGGTAACAAACTTCCAGCCCTACGTGCTTCTATCAAAAATTGGAAAAGGAAGGGCTGCTTGGTTGGATTTTCCCACTTTCCCATGTTAACAGAACAGATTCTTAGCACTTGGCCATTAAATATTTCCACACAGTTTCTTGAGAAGACCAAAACCAATCTCACCACCTCGTCTTCCCGTGTCGTTATCCTCCCAATTGTACCACTTCCTCCAAAATGGTAATAACATAATACTATAATCTTTTGTTCTTTCTCAGCTCACAATGTTTACCGGTCAGTGTCGCACAGTGCATCCTCATTGGTTTGTTTATGGTGGAATCAATTGTTGGCATGCATCAGCTGAACAAATTACTACTGCAAGCGAAACCACTACAGTACACTACTAGCTAGGCCAATTCCATCACGTCTCTCTCAGTCTTCCTGTGGGTGCTGATCTCCGTTCTCTCTTTCCTGTTTCGGTCCCCGTAGAGATCTCCAACGTCCTCATCGTACTTTCAGCTTTGATCACCAGCTCTCAAAGGAAAGGTACGCTGAAAAGCAAAAAACCCATCCGAGGTTTCGTTATATTCATCTGATTCTGTGTCGGTTCTGCTGTGAATTTTTTCCACGGGGAAAGTTGGTACCCATCTTGTTTCTTCTTTGTGGCGTGTGCTGTAATGGGTCTCTGATTCGGATCGAAGTTCGATTGCAGGATGGAGGAGATTACTAACGTGATGGAGTATGAAGAAATCGCGAGGCAGAAATTGCCCAAGATGGTATATGACTACTACGCCTCTGGTGCTGAGGACCAGTGGACTCTCAAGGAAAACCGCAATGCCTTCTCTCGAATCCTGTAATACCAACCCCCCCACCTGCTCCTTTTATTGCTGGAAGAACATTAGATTGTTGGTCATTTATGGGACTCTGATTTGAATTTATAGGTTTCGTCCTCGGATTCTCGTTGATGTGAGCAACATTGACATGACAACGACTGTACTGGGCTTCAATATTTCGATGCCAATCATGATTGCTCCAACCGCTATGCAGAAAATGGCACACCCTGATGGTATTAAGTCCCAGTTTTCCTCCATTCATTCAAATTGCTTGAGCTGCCGCTGACTCACACAAGGCTCCTTGTTTCTATTTGCTTATGGTGGACCGCAGGGGAGAATGCGACAGCAAGAGCAGCTTCTGCAGCTGACACCATTATGGTAAAAAAATTTGAACTTGAATTGGATTTTGATTGGAGGGTATCGTCCACAGATAATCCATGCATTGATGTGATCTTTTGCAGACTTTGTCATCATGGGCTACATCCAGTGTTGAAGAGGTAGCTTCAACAGGCCCTGGCATTCGCTTCTTCCAACTCTATGTGAGTGTGCTTTTCTCTGCAAAGAAAAAAAACCCTTCAATCCTATTTCTCCCATTTGGTTCAGAACCTGTGCATCCATTTCGGATTACTCACGAGGCTGGCTTAATACCTCCCCAGGTGTATAAAGACAGGAATGTAGTCGCTCAGCTGGTTAGGAGAGCCGAAAGAGCCGGATTCAAGGCAATTGCTCTTACAGTTGACACTCCAAGGCTTGGTCGGAGAGAAGCTGATATCAAGAATAGGTTCGTTCATGAACCTCTACCCAGATGGATCCAAGCACTTATAACTACTTGTGTGTAAGCACTGAGCTGCATTCTCCTTTATTGTAGGTTTGCTTTACCACCCAATCTGACGCTGAAGAACTTTGAAGGCTTGGACTTGGGCAAAATGACAGTAGACAAGGTCACTCCCACAAAGACCCCACTCTTTCTCAACTTGTAAAATCTGCAAGCTCCATTCGGTATTGTTATCACAATTATGCTTTTTTTCCCCCTCAGACCAGTGACTCAGGATTGGCCTCCTATGTTGCTGGCCAAGTCGACCAGACGCTTAGCTGGAAGGTACTAACTACGAGCACCAGTTTCCCTCCATCTCCATTGACCAACTGAAACAGTGACATTTTGGCTAGTAATATTGTACTAAGTTGTTTTGTTGTTTAACCCAGGATGTGAAGTGGCTTCAAACCATCACCTCACTGCCAATTTTAGTGAAGGGGGTGCTGACAGCTGAAGACGGTAAAGCAAAAACCAACCCAAACTCAGTTCCTGCTTCCCACATTTCTTCTTGCCTCGGGCGGTCTTACGATTTCCAGCTGGTGTGTTGAATGGCAGCGAAGCTGGCAGTACAAAATGGAGCAGCAGGGATCATTGTGTCCAATCACGGAGCCCGCCAGCTCGACTACGTTCCAGCCACCATCACTGCTCTGGAGGAGGTTGTGAAAGCTGCACAGGGTAGAGTGCCTGTGTTCCTAGACGGTGGAGTTCGCCGCGGGACAGATGTGTTCAAGGCACTTGCGCTGGGAGCTTCTGGTGTATTTGTAAGCCAATCTCTAAAACGTCCAAACTTTTTTGGGCCTTGCAACCCTTTGCAGCTAGTTTGATGCCTTCTATGTGTTCTGTTGGGTTTGGCAGATTGGGAGGCCTGTGTTGTTCTCATTGGCGGCAGATGGAGAAGCTGGAGTGAGGAAAGTACTGCAGATGCTGAGGGATGAGCTTGAACTGACAATGGCGCTAAGCGGCTGCACATCGCTCAAGGAGATTACCCGCAGTCACATCGCTACTGACTGGGACCCTCCTCGCTCGCTCCCTAGCAGCAAGTTATGAATTGAATTGGAACCCCGTAGTAATGTTGTGAATAAGAACCTCCCCCATTGTTGGAAAAAGCTTGGATCCATCCATCGTTGTGTAAACTTGAAGATCGTTGAAAATTGATGATGCACGCACTTTGTAAGAAGAGGATCAAGTAGCCATGAGAATGGCACTGCAACTATGAAGTAGCGCCATCATTTTAAGTGTCACCTAGCTACTTAGAGACAACAACTGTTAATTTGTGTGGGTGATATTTGTTTTACGGAGATTTTAATTTATTAATAAATGTATTTCTGTGGGTGGTTTGGATTGAGTATAGGCAAACTTGTTATTTGGGTCAGATTTAAATGATGGTCTTTTTAAACAAAGATAAACTTTTCCATAGACTTACTATCCCATCATAATAAAGCCCCCTTGTTGACTGAAAAGCACTTGAAGTCTGAAGAAGAGCTCTCATTTAAGTACCCGCCTCCAAGCCCAAGAGCTACTCTGACTCATCTTACTACTATCCAGACAATGCAGTTAAAAATGCAATTCTACCTAGAAGCGGTTGGGTGACCTAGAAGCGTAAAACCGTAAGCTTTTAAGTTTTAAAGCGTAGATTTTGACTACATTTGTAAGGGAAAACCACGATTCTACATAAAAGCGTTTTGGCGACCAAAACAGGTAAAAGCGTAATCTCTTAAGTTTTAATGCACGATTTTGACAGCATTGTATCCAGAGGCTACCAAATTTCACCTTATATTTTAGAATCCAAGCGACCCAGATCCCCTCACACTGTATGGTATGGCTGTAACCCGGGCGCTTATCTTGTGAATTGCCATACTTTCTATTTTAATTAAATACTCATAAACGGACAGCTTTTCGTTAAAATAAGCCATATAATTCTTGTAGTGCGGGCTCGGTTCCAAGAGAATAGATCTCTAAGCTCCAAATTCCATTAACCCCATTCCTTATGACTTTTGACTACTCGTTCTCATCCAATTTTTTTCACGCCCCCATCACCACTATGCCAAAGGAACGTGGAACAAATGTTATATATGTAGTTCATAACTTTCTTGGGTAAGAGAAACACTTGCATCCATAATTGAATCACACCCATAAGAACCGATGTGATCAGTTGGAGCTTGACATATATCTTTAATTTTTAGCTGTCAATAGTTTGTTCTCTTTTATAATTTTTCTTATAAAATATTAATTCTAAGAATTCGGAAGATCACTGCTCTATTGTTTTTTTTTTTTTGACAAAGGGATCACTTATATTGCTCATCAAATGGATTCGGTTACATTGAGTGGATAACATCATGAGAAATGGAAACAAGAAAGAAAAACAACAATCATCCAGCGGAACACACCAAGACAACGAGGAAAAGATAGGGACAATCAAAAGCAATGCATGATCCAACCAGACAAAGGCTTTCCTTTCAAGAGCCATAAAATAGAGCATCTTAACCACTCTTTGCTCCCTCATTCATCAGAAATGCTCAAAGAACAGCTTCAGCTCGTCCAATACAGGCTTGACCATGGCAATTGAACATTGCAACACCATATGTCGCTTTCTAGGAGTTGTTCGAAGAAGAACCATCACAATGAACCACCGAAGATATTACATGGCGGTGGACAGGACTGTACCAGATTGCTCAGAGTTGAAACAAGGCTAGGGAGCCAGCAACAGAGGTAACCATGACAAAACAGAGTAAGCTAACACCAAGGGTTGAGAAGAGCCGTCAAAAACCACAAGAAAAGAAGATCACCAGCAAGAACCACAACCTACAGAAACACAACACCAAAAAGACCACCCCAAAACCCAGAAAACAACAAAAGAATCAACACCCACACCATCACCAACCACCCACAAACATAAAAGCAAATCAACCCAAGGTAGAACCCTAAACTCAGAGAGTCATGAACCCGCCGCCATGACATTCAGAAGAGACAAAGGTGGCCACAACAGATGATCGGCGAGGATGTAGAAAGCATGAAACAAAGACGACGTCTAAGAGGAAACGATGAACGCGATCACCACTGGGATGTTCACACCAAGAATGGATGAGTCTTCACTTCAGATCCAGCTGAAACTCCCCAAAATGCATCTTCCTTACCCAGAACAGAGCGACCATATCTGGTGAAACCAAATCAGAACAAGACAGGACAACTCCACCATGGAGGAATGTGGAAGGAAACCACTTAGGAATCCGAGAGAAAGCCACCAAGGGCAAGAAAAGCCATCATGGTAGGAAAATCAGATCAGATCTGCAGAAAGCCACCAAGCGCTTGAAGATCAGAAAAGGAACTGGAGGAGCCACTGATGGACGGAGAACAAAGAAAGCACAAAGGAAAGCCAGAGGGAAAGAGATACGACGATTGCAAGAGGGAAATAGGGCCACCGCCAGTCACCAAAATGGTGCTGTCGGCAGCCCTGTGGAAGAAGGCTAGAGAGAAGCGAGAGGCTTTGAAATAGGTCGACCACTTCCACTTCTGCAAGTCTCCTTCATTACTGCTCTATTGGTTGGTGAGGACCAAACCGCACCATTCTATCTCTAAATTTTGTCTAATTTTGATCCAATGCTAGAATAATTTGGTCGATTTCTGAACCGCATCAACCCGCCCCGCCCTTAGTTCAACATAATTATATAAAACCATCCACAACTTTAACGGTTAAGACATGAAATACTAATTACAACAATGCTCCTCTACCAAACCGCTTCATATTAGGAGGCTAACTTTACATTTGAATTCGATCACCTACTTGTAATGAATTGAACATGTCACTTAATCCTTACAGCAAGAGGAATACAGGTTCCTTAGAGTGTAGGCCCATCCTACTTGCCATGTCCTTCCCTTCCTCTCCACTTTCTTTCTTCCTCATTGTAATTCATTAAATGGGCCGACTTAAGCGGATTGGGCCCTCGCTGGCCTTCCCGAGCTTCCTTCTTCCCACCTTCCGTTTCTTTCCTTCTCCTGCCGGTAGGGATGGCAATCAAACCCATGGTCGTGGGTACCCGACCGCCCCCGACCCAATCAACGCGGGGAATCCCCGCTTTAACTGGGTATGGGGCGGGTATGGGTAAAACTCGCAAAAATTTTGATGGGTATGGGGCGGGTATGGTTTTAGCCTCCCCCACCCCATACCCATACCCATACCCGCCCCACCAAGAGAATTTCTTCACATATCAAAAAATATGTGGATTAAATTATAATCTATCAATGATGATGATGATAACTCGAGAAAATAAATAGTAAAAATGCAATTGAGTAACCACCTTAAACAAAACCTAATTCATTTCCCTCAATTCTCCTTCCACTCTTTCACTTTCCCCCTTGTTAACAAGATTATGTTAGTTAATTATTACTTAGTAAATGTATCAAGAGTTAGAGCATAATAGGTTTGTTTATGGTTATAATTAAAACTTTTCTTGTAAGTTTTAGGTATAATAATGTTGGATGTACGGGGATGGGTATTACCCATGGGTACCCGAAACCCACGGGTATGGGGATGAGTTTGCAAAATATTCCCCCGCATGGGTATGGAGCAGGTATGTGTTTGAGTATTTGAAAATGGGGATGGAAATGGTTTAGGCAAACCCGCCCCATTGCCATCCCTATCTGCCGGTTTTCTTTCTTCCGACTTGCTTTTGATTCTTTGATCATCTCACCTGCCGCCATTTCCTAGGCCCTGCACCCTGCTTTGAGATCAAAAGCACAGAAAAAGTAAGAGCAACGGCCATAATCAACTTTCTGCCCATTTCGCCCGGAACCACTTTCGGGGGTTTTAGTTGAGATATAACAACCAATACTGAATCTGTTCTCCCACCTTCCATTTTACCTCATCGCTCGCTGCGTGAATTGGTCTCTGTTTCCCTAGGGGTTTCTGTTGATCTTCACTTCGTTTGCACAATTTGTTGGCTCATTGATGGCGGAGTCAGTGATGGATAATAAAAAGAGTGTGAGCGAGGGTGGCAACCGGCGCCGGTGGGCGGTTTTCTTCGCTATAACGGTGCTGATCATTGCTCTGTCTGCTGCTTCCACCGCCGCCCCAAAGATCTCTCTCTTTGGTAAATTCAATACGCTATGCAGCTGCTCCCAGCAGCAGGTACATTTTGATTTGTTCAATTCTGTGGTGTTTGACTTGGTTTGCGGCTCGTGGATTAACATGCATTTGTAGTAAGTTCAAAGCTTTGTGAATCGTATTAGACCTGGTATACTGTTACGAATGCTGTGTGATTGAGGGGTCTAGAGACGAATTGAAATTCTGCCCCCATCCGAGTGTTAGTCTTAACTTGCATTTCTTTCGTCTTGCCTGTGGCGTGCACAGAAATATACTGGGATTGTGGAAGACTGCTGCTGCAACTATGAGACAGCTAACCTTTTGAACGAGGAAGTATTGTATCCGTCTCTCCAGGAGCTTGTCAAAACCCCATTCTTCCGTTATTTCAAGGTCCTTCCCCCCAAACTCCACTGGGTTCTCATTAGAATTACGAACTGTTCATTTTTCAAAGCATCTCCAGGGGAGACTTTGCCAGGAAATTCTTGTTTTGTGATCAATGTTATTGCTTTCTTTGTTGCTACTTATCCCTGATTATTATCTACATTAATGTTGTTTGCTTGTCTCTGATGCTTTCTTTCTCAATGTCTGTTCTGTAATAGGTGAAATTATGGTGTGACTGCCCTTTCTGGCCCGATGATGGCATGTGCAAGTTGAGGGATTGCAGTGTCTGTGAATGTCCAGACAATGAGTTTCCTGAATTGTTTAAGAGGCCTTTCCGCCGTGGTCTGCCCTCAGATGCTCCTAAATGTCAAGAAGGCAAGCCGGAGGCTACCGTTGATCGCACCCTTGATCATAGAGCTTTTAGGGGTTGGAAAGTGACGGATAACCCATGGACAAATGATGACGAGACTGACAATGGTTAGTCCCCGTTCTGGCCCCTAAAGCGTCAAAATATGAAATTGGCTTTGGTTTCGTTTATGTTTGTTTTGATGTTTCATCCTAGAAGTCCTTTATATCTTTATGGTTTGCATTGGGATTGGTATTCTGCGACCCCTGATGTAAAAATACTAATGATCAGATCACAATAGTCATTGCTACTATTTGTGTTGGTAGAGATCATTTTGGCTTATTGTGCTATCAAATATTGCCGCTAATACAACTTTTCATTTTCCAGCTGAGATGACATATGTGAATCTGCAACTGAACCCTGAACGATATACTGGATACACTGGTCCATCAGCTAGAAGGATATGGGATGCTGTTTACTCTGAGAACTGTCCCAAGTGTAAGTGAGACTCTTTACTTGATTGTCGAATTGGTCAGTCCATTTTGAACGAGTGTGCTTGTCTTATTCTGTTCACAGAAGAATTAGAATGACATGCATCTACATTGTGACTTATAAGGAATCTTACTTCTTAAATTTTGTCACCATAACGTGTTTGTCCTGCTGTACCTGACGTTCCATGTTTCCAGTAATGTTGTAAGAGGCTGTGTTGCCACCTAGTGCAAAACTAATCTTTTGAAGTTTCAACATTATCAACAGATCCATCTGAAGAGCTGTGCCAGGAAGAGAGATTGTTATATAAATTGATTTCAGGTCTCCACTCATCCATTTCCATCCATATTGCTGCTGACTACCTGCTTAATGAAGACACAAACTCGGTATGAACTATACAGAACATGTTGGTTGGTTACTTTATCTTTAACCATGGCAAGTTAAGTATAGCGAGTGTCCTCATATTTGTCTGGAGAATAGTGCATTTTTATTGATGTTGTCATTATAGTTGAAACCTAGAGTGGCGTGGGTGTTTTCATCCACCCATTAGCACTAAATGAAGTAACCAACGCCTTGGGTCCCAGAGAATAATGTTAAACTTCCCTGAATAAGCATCATTGAATAGATCTATTGTCTAATTTCCATTTCACGAGTAGTTCTAGTATGAATCACAAGTCTTGCTGGTTATCGAATTTTGCGGCCTTGTAGGATTTTCAAGAGTTTTCTACTAGTGATTCGGTCATTTAATTCCACAATATATCTACTAGTGGAAAGTAGTTTCACTAGTTCGTATATCAGAGCAGTGTCTTGGCTGTTGATTTGGTCATCTAATTTCCACTTCTATCTGACCTCGTTTTCTTGTCTCCTTGCAGTGGGGTGAAAATCTGACTTTGATGTATGATAGAGTTTTGAGATACCCTGAACGTGTTGGGAACTTGTACTTTACGTACCTCTTTGTTCTGCGAGCTGTCACAAAGGTGAGTATCAACGTAACAGGGAATAAGAAAGCTCTGCTGCGTTATATATATTTTGGAATAAAATGATCTTCTTAGTTAGCATGTGCCATGCAAATTAATAGAATTCTCTATTGGACGTTATCATAATGATGAACCTCTGAATTTCTAGACAGCAAGGTACTTGGAGCAAGCTGAGTATGACATTGGTAATCCTACCGAGGATCTGAAGGCTCATTCCTTGATCAAACAGCTACTCTATAATCCAAAACTTCAAGCCGCTTGCCCACTTCCGTTTGATGAAGCTAAACTTTGGAAAGGTCAACGAGGACCTGAACTGAAACAGAAAACACAAGAACAGTTCAGAAACATAAGGTTGGTATTTATCCTTTTGATACCTTAACATTTTACTTTAATCTGCTAACGTGATTTACAGTACTAACTCTATTTTCATTTCCTTTTGTTTAATGCACTTCTCTGTTGAATTACCTGTATATGATATAATATGAGAATCATTCCATTGTACTTGCAGTGCATTAATGGATTGTGTAGGCTGTGAGAAGTGCAGACTTTGGGGAAAGCTCCAGGTTCTTGGCCTAGGTACGGCATTGAAGATACTGTTCTCTGATAACGGGGAAGACAAAATATTCCGAACAGTAAGTACTGATTTCGGAAATTAGAGATTTATTATGGCACCAATTATTCATGTCAACTGTTGTATTGATAGTAGATGTTGACTTCTTGTCGTTGCTTGAATTCAGTTGCAGTTACAGAGGAATGAAGTAATTGCATTGATTAATCTTCTGAATCGGCTGTCTGAATCTGTTAAATTCGTCCACGAAAAGGGTGCTGCGCTTGAAAGGATCATGGAACAACAGACTGGCTTCTTCCCCATCGCAAATGTCCTCTTGGCCAAAGTTTGGCCTTTTAGTTCAAGCCTACTAAGGTAATAGTAGAAGAGGAGTGCTTCTTTCATGCCATTGGTGACAACGTCTGGTTGGCTGAGGGCTTAGATCCAGTATAACTCTTAACCGTTGGCAGATTACTGACTGAATTTTGATCATCTACACAAACTTCGCATTAGGGAAAACAAGGAAAATTGTAGAGCTGAGTCATGTATATGTTATATGTACCTTGACAATAGATAAGATGTAACATCAGCAGACAATTTTCTCTGGAAATTAGAAAGGGCTGCACAAAGCCAGAAGTTCATTGCTTACAATATATACTCTTTCTTTTCAATATGAATTACATTACGGACCAAAGGACAGAACATAGTAGCAGCTTCCAGCAGCGCCCTGTGTTGAGTCGACCTCGCAGCCAAAAAGTTCTCGACAGTTCGTTCTATATTAGCTTTGCTATCTCTCAACTCCAAAACGAGGATCATCTCGTCATATGCGAATACCATTCTGGCAAGAAACAACAATATAATCATTAGTAGCAGCACAGCTGGAAGTTCAGTGGTCAGTTCCCAGTTAATCCAGTATTGATGTAGCAAAGGTTGAAGTTGACCCTTCTCTGCAACTCCACCAACTCGCAAAACACAGCTGCAATTTAACCACATTCACCGCCACTAGATCACGTCTTACTGTGATGAGAAGTTCCACAGAGATGTATGCAGATGTACACATCCATCCAATTTGACAGCAGCACTTAATTTAAAAGGGCTTCCATAAAACAATTCGCAAAAAGATAGCAGACGGATTCCAGGGTTCTGCACTTGTGGCCGAGCAGCTATAACACAGATACTACCGACCCTTCTTGGAGCGTTTGGTGGGTCTTGTTTTCTCCTTCCTAGAATCTTCAGGAGGCTTTGAATCCAGAAATGGCTGCAAAGTCAAGCAATTTAAGGCCTTATTGGCATTAGGAAGCTGAACAATCATCATTATAAGCCCACAGATTTAAACCAACAAGAAAGTTGGATCACCATAGATCAAAAGCATCAACAAACAAAGAAGGGCAGGTACTTGTGAGAAGTGTGGCGAATTCACTAGTAGTAGGCATTAGTTTCTACATAGCAGTTCTTCCTACTCATTTAGACATATTCATATAGCAGCGGAAGGGCTGTATGTGTAAAGGTGGGTACTTTTTACTGGAAGAAGGGATGTAGCTGACCTCTTCCGACTTCTTCTGAAGTTCTAGTAGCTCCTGGCAATAAGCGAGGCACTCAGCGTGGTAGACAGCCGCCAACTCTTTTATCAAAGCCTTCCTCTTGATTATACCGATCACTGCCGGACGGGAAAAGCGAAGAAAGGAAATTTATGTGAAGGCTCTGTAGCTAAATTCACTACAGTCGCTGTGCTGCCAGAAGCGAAACGGGGAAGGAAACCCTAGCTGGCAAAATTGGGGAAAAATGGAACTCAATTACGGAAAGGGAAGGGGAGTTTACTTCGACTCGGATCGAATGAAGGAGGAGGCGGGTGTGGCGGCGGCGGCGGCGGCGGCGGCGAAGACAGACTGGATCCGGTTTCCGGAGGAGCGGAGACGGTATCGCCGGGAGGGGACGTTTGATCTCCGAGCATTATTTGGGGAGAGGGTCTACGAGATGGGGCTAAGAGCGGAGAGTTATAATCGGGCGGCGCCAGGTTCACTGAATTTTCCCTCGTCGTCGCCAGCTACGGTAGTAGCTGCAATATTTTCCTCTCACGCAGTCACGCACCCTCTTAGCTTCCTCTCCCGGTTTGCTCGATCTTCACCGGGCACTTCACTCGGCTGCAAAATGTCATGATCGGATTCATACGTGGAGATTATTGTAAGTAGAAAGTAGGTGTCAACCAAGTTTAACCTAAAATTATGTTGTCGTAGTATAGTGACAATTAAGGTCGTATTCACTCGGATCCTAGTATTATAGTCTACTTCTCACATTGTTGTTATCTAGCCGATCGATTTGAGTGTTTTGTGTGGAGGATATGAGCGAACTAATTAGTCTAGCGATCAAATAAAGATATAAGCAGATACTTCGGGGAACTATCTCTCACCCTAGTCTAGGACTACTATGCAATGTCAAGATACCAAGGGTTTATCGAATGTGGTGAGTGAGCTCTTTTCTATGGGTTTTTAGTGGTTATTTACACGCCTCAGAGTACGCCTCCACTAAACCCATGTAAAGTCACATCGATCTAGGCTATCGTATCTTGGGCATTAAGGTCATAGCTCTTTTCAATTGGTACCTACCCACCGTCCACACCGAGGTTTCATCCCGGGTTGTATCTAGGAAGGCATTTCTATGGCAGTAGGGATGGCAACTTTGCCCATACCCATGGGTTTCTTACTATCCAACCCAATTGGGTTGGGTATGAAATCCAAATAGATGGATATGGGTAGAGTTTGATGGGTTTGTACCCATACCCATTTACTTTGGGTTGAGTTGGGTTTATATCAAATGGATTTGGGTTTGTACCCATGCCCAAATACAAATTATAGTTTGGTACCCAAACTTAATAGACATGCATATTTAGTACCTAAATTTAATTTTTTTGCATATAAGTCCTCAAAATATCGATGGAAAATTACGTTTTGGTACCTAAATTTTTTTGGTCTTACATTTTGGTACCTAAACTTTTCAAGTTTTGCAAATAGGTCCAATTTTTGCATGTGTAGTTAAAACACCCTCAAGTAAATGGATATCCATATCCAACCCATACCCATTTAGATTATGGAAGCCCCAAACCCAAACCCATCTATAAACTCCCAAATCCATATGCATTTCACCCATACCCAACCCAAGTAGACCCATACCCAACCCATTATCAATGGGTCTACTTGGGTTTGGGTATAATTACCCATGGGTGGGTAATTTGCCATCCCTATATGGCAGGGGTTCGGTTGCCTCGGCTACCATAGGATCCTATTCATACATCTAACCTCAATTTTCTTGATAGCCTAAAACTCCATACCCAACGTAGAAGCTCAACTAGGCTAGTAGAGAAGATTAGGGTGACTTACCCAAACACAAATCAAAGATAGAATAGCATGCAAATCAACCAGATAAACACATTCATTCATTAAAATCCTAAAATATCCATACATACATAGTAACCCTAAAACTAGGTTTGGGGTTTAGAACCCCTAATACCTTAGAGAACTACTCCATCAAGGGGGGAAGAAGATACTTAGAAGAGGTGGAAGAAGACTTGATGTTGAGAAAGATTACTCCTCTCTTTTAGCTCCTTCTCCTTCTTCTCCTCTTCTCATTCCTTCAACTTCTCCCTCTTCTCTCTCTCTCTAAAACCAGAAATTCTATCTCAAAATCAGTTCACTTGAATGGGAGAAAGGGATCTTCTATATATAGGCATCAGAGGACGGAGAAGTTCGCGGGTAGGAAGGACAGAGATAGCAGGTGTGATCTTCTTCACGGAGGCCGCGATCTTGCGACGTTATCGTTTAGGCCTTTGGGGACAAGGAGTTCGCGGGATGACTTTGCGGTCGCGATCGCGAACTTCCTTGCGGTCAGTTTGCACTTCGGCCGTGTTTTGCCAGGGGAAACTCTCTGTTTCTCCTCGGCTGCTTCTTCAAGAAGCTCCTGCATTGAGCCCTCCAATTCGCGACCGCGATCTTCAACTTGACATCGCAGGCAGGGTTCTCGACCGTGATCTCTATCTCCAGGCCACGATCTTCGGTCTTCTACCCCATATGTGACACTTGTGACCTTATTTTGTACCTAGTTCGCATGTATTGTCTAAAGCACTCTAAAATCACATTGAAATCAAATAGGAATGCAATTGACTCTGTTCAAACAATTATGCACATGAATTGGCACAAAACAAACCTTAATATAAAGGGTAAATAGTACCAATTTAGGTGTTGTCAAACTCCCCCACACTTAGGGTTTGTTTGCCTCAAGCAAACCTACTCAAACCAATGCAACATGATAGACAAATTAATGGGGAATGCACTCTAGTTCTTCATTGCATAAGGAAGAGTAGACGGAGACGAATGAACATTACTATCATCTTACTATGCAAGTAAAACTCTCGGATGAGTTACTACCTTAGGCCGAGCATTCAAGGTGTGCACCGGGGGAATTCTTAAACAACAAAAAATAAGCACAAAAACACTCGATGGCGCTCTTTATTCTCTCTTTTGATTAAGGACTTGTCGTTTATTGGTCGCCTTTTTCAACGTTGACACGCATTGCACCAAGCTTTTGCACTCTTTTGCAAACAAGCATCTCTCGCTCATGACCAAGAGCGGATGAATCATAGTCTTCCCTTTCAAATTCACATGCGGGGAAGTCGATGGGCGGATTCATCTTAGCCCGAGCACCACTTCCCAGCCTGCAATCCTCATTGGGTTGTCACACATGTTAGGTACAAACGAGAGTTGTGAGTTCTCATAATCGCTAAAAGGTACTTTAGACCTTGGCGTACGATTCCGTGAGGAGGAAAGATGCACGGGGGATGAAAAGTAGTGAAAGATGGTCGGGACGCGGTAAAGTTATCCGATCCCCAAGCATATCCTCAAAGGGCACTCCGAATCCGTGAGGATTGGTTGCCTCTCACGTGAGAACCTCATTTTCTTAAGATTTTTCTCCCTTTTCTTTCTTTTCTAATACGCACAAACTAGTAAAAGCTTCGAGTTCACAAAAAAAAAAAAAAAATCCCGCACACATTTTCTTCCTAAAATAGCAAACATTATCAACTCACAAAAGAGGAAGAAGATAGCAAAATCCCTCATACACCGGTACTCTATTCATGCAACTATCACCTAGCGAGCACAAAACATCAATCATTTATCAAATCAAAGCATATCGAGTAGGGAGTTGTAAGGAACAAGGTAACTTGGAACACTCAAATTTGAATTTTTTTGGGTAAAGTATTCCAGCTTCCAAAACACCATCATTTGACCATTAATCACCACAACACAAACGCAATCGCTAGCATGCACTCCCATAGACATTCATCAACATCTTACATTCATAAAAAAGAAGGATATATATATATATATATCAATTCATGGTTCAACCAATCATTATAATCATTCAAGCATTCACACATTATTTTAATTAAAAGCAAAGAAAAGCAAAGAAAAGGAAGAGGGGAGAAATTAAGTCCGACCGGCTGCAAATGATTTCAGTGATTTGTGCGATTTCAGTCACCATCCCCACATAGCTAAATGCAGCGACGGCAGGAGCAGAGACAAGGAGATGTTGATGCCGGCCCGGGGGGGGGGGGGGGGATCTCATAAATCGATAATTCGATGTTGTCGGGGGGGGGGATGGGGTTCATGGACAGGGGAATTGAACCGAGCAGATCGAATCTCCTTCCCTCGATCTAAGTTGGATCGCTGATTTGGATCAAGGGCCTTCAGTGCGAAGCACCTTGATCGCTGATCTGGTCGTCGAACCGCTAGTAATTTGAGGGGATTGGCCGCGAACCACCTAAAAGTTAGGTAGTTTGGGAATTAATTTTTCAAGTGTTGTAATTTGGGAATATTTTTTAATTAGTGTTGTATTATGGGATTTCGTTTAGTTATTCTCTGATATTGTACCTTGTATGCCGTGAGAAATTGTATATTATTTGCCCCTATTGTTTCTCTTTATTGTGTTATCCTTCTTGGCTTTTGAAAGTTTCATGCAATATCTATGTTCCCCGTAGATAATACACATATAGTATACTAGCTTTTTACCCGGCCTGTTGGCCGGAGAAATTTATTTTATAATTTATATTAATTAACTTATTCATATGTTTAAATTATTTTGGATCTTCTAAATATTTTTTGTTCTTGATTCATAAATGAGTTTGTAGTATGTCTATATTGAAAATTTCCAATATTTAGCACACTCACTTCTGATGTTCCGGCTTTCTAATCATAAATTATGTCTATGTCAAGTCCCATTAGAACTTATGTTAAAATTTGTCAACCAAAACACTAATATTTAGCGTACCCCAACCTGATCACCGCCCCCCACCCACCACCCACACATATATAGTTCAAGCTAGCGTGCGTCAAGAGTACGCTATACTCTTGCGTTCACACTACCATACGACCATTGAGTTTTGCTAATGGACTCATTTGGTAGTCCAAATTTGGATGAAGCACTTAGGGTATGGGAAAATGTAATTTGGCGAATTAGTGAACAATTGGAATTACTTTGGAGCTGGTTGGGTAGACAATTGAAAGTGACTCGTTTTTTATCTTTGATTTTTTATTTTCAATTTAATCTTTGACGTTGTAAATCTATATGTGCTCTTATTGGATCCCTTCACATTTTCATCTCTTTCTTTGTTTGTTTTATCATGTATTCTTCCTTGGTCGCTGGCGAAAGAAGAAAAATTGCGACAAAGTTCAGGAGCCGTCAATTGAAGGTGGTGTAGAAGCTTCCAGCAGCGCCAGATTAATTCAAAGGAAAAGGTATGCAATTGTGATTCGGGTCTAATTGCATATGTTTTCAACCCGTATTTTTCTAGTGTTTTGGGGCGTTTACATCGCTTGAGATTTGACTATACTGTTAATATCAAAACACTCTTATCACAAAACGTATACGAAAACAAAGAGGAAAGCACGAGACACGATTTACGTGGTTTCCCCGATATCGGGACTATTCCACGGGAGAGCTAGAACTCTCCGAGCTTGAATCTTATTATTGTTTTGCTTGCCTGTTTACAACGTGATGCTGCTCTCTAAATAGATGCCGCCAGCCCTAGCTCTCCAAGACTCCTGCTAGGGCTAAACTCTCGGCCACAACACCTCATACAACCGAAACTCGCTAATGGGCTATATACAATGGACTATATACAAAAGTATGGGCCTAATCTTCTAACAGCCTCCCCCAAATTGATGCTGGTCCCTAAGCATCAATTTGTCAGTAAGATAACAATGGCGAGAACGATGGAAAGGCTTAGTGAACAAATCAGCCAACTGGTCCGTGGAAGGAACATATCAAACCACAATGAAACCTTCAACTACCAAGTCCCGTATATAATGAACGTGAATCTCAATATGTTTCGTGCGATCATGCAAAACCGGTTTATCGGCAATCTGAATTGCACTGGTGTTGTCGACGTGAAGAGTAATGGGCGACGGACAAGAAATCCCCAAGTCAGAGAGTAACCGCTGCATCCATACTAGCTCAGAAGCCACGTCTGACATTGCTCGATATTCCGCTTCGGTAGAAGACTTGGATACTCTATCCTGCTTGCGACACCGCCAGTTGATAAAAGTACCACCAAATTGAACACACCATCCTGTAGTCGAACGTCGAGAATCAACACAGCCGGCATAGTCAGAATCGGAGTATGCGCGCAAAGTACAATCACCAGTAGACGGGATAAACAACCTGACGTCACGAGAACCCTGCAAGTAACGAAGTATCCTATGCACCGCAGCAAGGTGATCAACGCGTGAATCAGACATAAACTGACTCACCACATGAACTGCAAAGGAAATGTCTGGGCGAGTATGTGTCAGGTACATCAAACTGCCAACAATATGACGATACTGCGACGGATTAACCAGGGGTACACCAGACTCACGGCTAAGATGAAGATTGGCTTCCATGGGAGTAGAAACTGGAATGCAATCGGCAAACTGAGTGGATGATAAAAGGTCAGTGATATATTTCCGTTGACTTAGGAGAATCCCATGGGGAGATCGAGTGATTTCCAAGCCAAGAAAATAGGATAAAGACCCCAACTCCTTTAATGTGAATGATGCATGAAGACCTTTCTTCAACCTCTGGATGCCAAGCACATCATCGCCTGTGATGATCATGTCATCGACATAGAGAAGGAGCACAATACAACCCGCCGAAGTAGACTGTAAAAATAGTGAGGGATCATTTCTGCTCTGCTGAAACCCCAGAGCAATCACTGTCGACTGAAATTTCTCAAACCAGGCACGAGGTGCCTGTTTGAGACCATAGAGAGAGCGTTGTAATAGGCAAACCTGATCATCACGACCAACCGTATAACCAGGAGGACGTTTCATATAAACAACCTCCTTTAAATCACCGTGAAGAAACGCATTCTTCACATCGAGCTGAAACAGAGGCCAATGTTTAAGCGCAGCCACTGCCAAGAGAGTTCGAACTGTTTGCATCTTCGCTACCGGGGCAAACGTTTCATCATAATCAAGGCCATATTCTTGCCCAAACCCCTGAACCACAAGACGTGCTCGCTTGCGCTCCAAAGTGCCATCCGCCTTCATTTTTAGGGCATAAACCCATCGATTACCCAAGATCGGAACTGACGGTGGAGGACGGTCCACTACCGCCCACGTATGCTGTGCATGGAGGGCATCAAACTCCTCGTTCATTGCATCATTACAGCCTGGATCATCCTTAGCGTGTTTATAAGAAGTCGGAATAGTGAGAGCATCCACATGATACGTGACAAAATCATGATACCGAACTGGAATCTGGCCTTGAGTAGACCGAAGAGATCGACGAAGAACCGGAGGCGAAGGGGTCTGAGACATGGAGTCCGATGAAGTGGACGAGCCCGACGAAGAACCCGCAGACGAGGACCCTGGCGATGAAGAGGTAGAGCTGGCACCTGGGGACGATGGGGCAGGCGAATCGGGGGGGGGGGGGGAGCGTGTGGTCATCATCTATTTCATCATCGTCGTCAAAAACGGGCAGTCAGGTCACCTCAGACGAAAACAATGGAGATTCCTCAGGGGGGGCTAGAGAAAGACATAAGACGCTAAAAAAAACAACATCACAAGAGATACGAAGACGTTGGAGACTCGGGTCATAACATAAATATCCATTGTGAATGTCACTATAGCCGAGGAAAACACAACGAGACGTCTTGGAATATAGCTTAGTACGTTCCTTACGGGGAAGAAGTACGAAACAAGTGCACCCAAAGACTCGGAGACGTGAGTAATCCGGATGCTTTTTGAACAAGGCATAATGAGGACTAAGCTGACCTAGAAGCGGAGTAATTTGGTAGTTAATTAACCGAACGGCTGTAGCTACAGCCTCAGGCCAAAACCGAGCCGGAACACGAGAAGCAAGAAGCATAGCTCGAGTAAGTTCAACTACGTGACGATTCTTACGCTCTACGAGACCATTTTGTTGGGAGACACCGAGACAAGATTTCTGAGTTAAAATCCCCTGAGACCTAAACAAACTGGCTAACGGATTGGAGCTAAATTCCCCCCAGGATCAGAACGAATGATACGCACAGTTTGACCTAATTGAGTTTGAATCATTTTCAAAAAATCAGTTGCGACAGATAGAAGGTCTAATTTGAGACGAAGAAAGTAGACCCAGGTAAAACGAGTTGCATGGTCTACGAATAAGGCAAAATACTTGTAACCATGACGAGAATCAGTGGGAGAAGGCCCCCAGAGATCAGTATGAACGATGTGAAAAGGATCAAGAACAACTGTTTTACTGGAAGGGAAAGATCGACGAGTGGTTTTAGCTTCCACGCAGCTTGTGCACTGAAAATTACCAGAAGCAAAATCAACCTTTTTATTTCCAAATAGCTGTTGTTTAAACATGGTTACAAGCCGACTCGAATGGGGGTGACCTAAACGCGAATGCCATAATTCAAACTCATTATTCGGCAAACTAGAAAAAACAGGAGACGAAACCATAGATTGAGACTCAAGAGATGACTCCGACCCAGAGGAAATAAAGCCCGACGATGATTGAGGTTGACCCGACAATGCTTCCAGTTGAAATACCCGACCAAGTTTACTCCCCCTTCCGATCTGCCTCCCCGTCTTCATGTCCTGAACAACACAAGTCGAGGGTTCGAACACAACACGGCAATTTTGCTCAGTTAATTGACCAACCGAAACAAGATTAGGAACAAGTTTCGGTACGCATAGAGTATTAGATAGGGTAATTCGTGGTGCTACTATATCTCCCATACCACTTACAGCAAGTTTGTCCCCATTAGCAACTTGAATACCACAAGATTTAGCAGATTTAAGCTTCGTAAATTGATGCGTACTACCGGTCATATGATTAAAACATGCCGAGTCCAAAAGCCATGGAAGGGGTGACGTACCAGTGTTGTGCAGCGAGGCAAAGGCGCTTGTGATAGCTGTCGTTAACGACCGTTGCAACGCGGAATGGACCAACTATTCCACAGCTTCGGCAGTCATATATGGACTCGGAGTAGCCTCGGCAACGGGAACTGGTTGGGCAGCAAAGGCACCACCAGTCGGTGCAGCAGCAGCGGCACAAGATGGACCAGACGAGCGGGGCTGAATGAGGCGGCAGTCGGTGATGATATGCCCCTTCTTTTTGCAATATACGCAGAAATTGCGTTGGCGACAAAAATTTTGATAATGGCCAGCAGTGCGACAATGATGACATATAATTTCAGACATGGGACGTTGAAATTGAGGGCGGCTTATTGCAAAAGCTTCATCACCACCAGATGGAGCTGAAATGGAACGCTGCGATGGAGGCGGCCGAAGCCCAGCGTGTTTGACGCACCGGCCACGGCAAAGACAGCTTCTCCCGCGCCTGGACGAACGTCCAGCTGGGCTTGCGTTCGGAGGCGCGTGTCCTCGCGTACAAGGACGGCCAGAATCCCGTCCATCTTCAAACTCTCGCGCTGGAGCAGGGAAGCACGCACGGACTCAAACTCCGGCCGCAGCCGACTCAAGAATTGCATCATACGCGTGCGCTGCCGATCGAGAAGCACTTCAGCTGAGGCCGTAGCAGAGCACAAGGCAACCGTCAACAAGTCTTGTTCCGTCCACAGTAATTGAGCTTCGTTGTAGTATGAAGTTACGTCGAGATCTCCCTGCTCGAGACGAGCTAGCTGAAATTGAATCTCAAATTGACGTGCCAGATCAGCTGTGGTGTAGGTGTTGGCGAGATGGACCCAGATGTCCCTAGCTGTGCGCAACAGACGCAGACCTAAGCATATTGTCGGCTCAATGGAACCGAGAATATATGCTTTCACACGAGCATCAGATTGATTCCACCTGGCCAGTTCTTCAGCAGTCGAAGGCGGCACCGTAGGCCGTGACGAAGTACCATCCAGAAACGAAAGAAGGCCCTTGCCTTCGATAAAAATCCGAAACTGAAACTCCCAAAGAGCATAGCTCTTGGAGTTCAAGCGAACCGAAACCCTATCCGAATCCATAGACGATAGCTTTGATACCATGTTAATATCAAAACACTCTTATCACAAAACGTATACGAAAACAAAGAGGAAAGCACGAGACACGATTTACGTGGTTTCCCCGATATCGGGACTATTCCACGGGAGAGCTAGAACTCTCCGAGCTTGAATCTTATTATTGTTTTGCTTGCCTGTTTACAACGTGATGCTTCTCTCTAAATAGATGTCGCCAGCCCTAGCTCTCCAAGACTCCTGCTAGGGCTAAACTCTCGGCCACAACACCTCATACAACCGAAACTCGCTAATGGGCTATATACAATGGACTATATACAAAAGTATGGGCCTAATCTGCTAACATATACAATAGGGTTGTGCGTGTTTCCAGCATGTTTCAGGTGCTAGTAAAATTGGTTTTCGAAGCGAAAGTTGAACAAAAGAGGGCGAAAGCGGATAGAAAAGGGCAAAAAGGCAAAGATCATGCTTGGAGCAACTTTTTCATTATTAGCATGAGATTGCTCTCTCCAGAGAGTTCTTGGCTACATTGACAGTGGGCCTAGCAGGGAAATTAAGCCAAAAGTGCATCTCATATAGATTGGTGGGACGATACTTCATTGAGAGTTATGATAGCTTTATCAAGAAGCACAGGATCTCGACCTACCATAGGAGAAGAGCACTCGCAGCGCCATCCTTGGAGCTTATTAGGAGCCTATGACGCAGATGGCTATCTTCCGGAAGCTTTGGAAGATGATCACTCGAGACCAAGAAGCAAAGTTTGTTACTTGCTATTCCTCACCGATCGAGGGAGAAGCTGGGCTGAGTAGGAGGAAGGCGCAAATGGAGGAAGAAGCTTCTATAGGAGGTTCTGATTGTCATAACGGGGCAGCCCATTAGTACGATATTGTCCGCTTTGGGCCGAGCCCGCACGGTTTTACTCTTGGGTGTCCTCCCCAAAAGGCCTCGTACTAATGAGATTGGTGGACACTAATATACAAGGGTTCCTTCCCTTGTATAACCGATGTGGTACTTGGATTGTCCCATAACAATCCTCCCCTCAAGCCAAGGACCACGAACATCGTGTCCTCACCTCAGCGATTATCTTGATCCGCCAGATGCCTTGTATCGATGGGCTTCTCGATACAAGGACTTTACCAGACGCAGAACTCTCTTTAATATGCTTCCCAAATGCGAAACTCTCTTTGATCCGCCAAGCCCAAACGTGGATCTCTCGTGGATCCACCAAACCAGACGCAGATCGCAAATCCCGAGGTCACCGAATGAGGGTCCACCAAACTGACGTCCACCGCCCCGGACCGAACCAGGCTCTGATACCACTTGTCATAACGGGGCAGCCTACGATATTGTCCGCTTTGGGCCGAGCCCGCACGGTTTTACTCTTGGGTGTCCTCCCCAAAAGGCCTCGTACTAATGAGATTGGTGGACACTAATATACAAGGGTTCCTTCCCTTGTATAGCCGATGTGGTACTTGGATTGTCCCATAACACTGATCTTTGTTCAGGAGGTGGAAGAAAATATTCTTCTTAGCCTGCAGCGCTACCGGAGGGAGTCTCTTTATGTCGATTACAGTTTCCTCCCGGAGAAGTATTGATTGAAGGGAGGGGTTATCAACGTGGCAAAGGGATTGTAAGAGTCATAAAATAAGTAATTTTAAGTTTTTTTATTTATTTAGCCTGAACAAGAAAAGAGAAATAAGCCAAGGCTAATTGGGTCAATTCTCACCTCCTGAAATGGTTAGTTAACAGAGTTTTAACAGAAGTATATGATTGTTACGTTTTAATAATAGAAGGGTACATTTGTACACAAAAAATAGTACAAGTGTACATTTGTTAATTTGAAATAATACAGGGGTATGAAATACTATTAACCCATTAAATAATTAACTAAAATTCTATTCGACGTATTTTGGTAAATTTGACAATTTGTTTAGTCACTAGAAATATTATGTTTATACAAAATTAATTTGGGGATTTTTAGATTTTATTTACTATTTAAAAAATGGATATAAATAAGATTTTAATTAATTAAATTACTTTAACACTTTTAATTAATTTTATAATGTTTTTTAAATTAGAATTTCATTTGGATGTTATAAAATTGTGAACCGGAGTTTTAAGTGTTTGTAACATGGTTTTAAAATTTATTTATGACAAAATTAAATAGGAAAAATGGGTTAATTAAGGTCTGATTTATAGTTCATAATTTTTCTTTAATACTTGAGTTACCTAAGTTTAGATTTTAGAGTTTTTAAGTTAAAATATATTTTTCAAATTTATAAGGACTTTGTGAGGTTTATTCAAAGGATTATTGAATTATTTGAGATAATTTAAGTAATGAAAAATGTTGAAAACAAATTTCAGTTTGAGGACATTATTTGAAAGAGATAAATGATCTTTTTAAAGGATTATGAGACTAAGCAAGAAGCAGGAGAAATTCCCAATAAGTTGAAGGGACTAAATTCGAGCAGTATCAACAAAGTGGAGGAAATGTTACACCCTACTCTTTTCTAAACTCAAAATTACTATTATACTCTTGGACACGGGGTAACTAATAAATCATACACGGAATATAACTATCTCCACTCAATCAATAAGAGTTTGGCCTCTCATTGGACACTGGGTAATCCTTATTTACCATCTCACTAGAGAAGAAATTGAAAGAAAAAGAAACAAAATAGTCAGCAACCAACTCATAAGACGCACAAACAATATGATCTTTCTCTATGAATGATGGGTCTATTCCGCGTTTCCCCTCCGATGCGGCAATCTCCCCAGGCCTATAAGTTTTGCGACGAGACGATTTTCCTTCTGATGCAGCGATCTCATTCCCCGTAGTCAACATTGCTACTCCCAATTGAACGGGTAGTATGGGTACCCGTTATCCGTCCCGTACGGGTAATGAGTACTCGTTAACTCGTAGTACGGGTTTGGGACATGGGATGTAGATTGCTTTTCAAATGGGACTAGGTACCCGTTTCAAACGGGACGAGTATCTCGTCCCGTCCCGTTTCCCAACCTTAAGTCCTACAATTGGGAGGAAGGCTCCCAGGCTAGCAAAAACCATAAAGGAAAAAAAGAAGGGGCTGGCGGGATTCGAACGGGAAGACTCATTAGTGCACAATAATGATTTTTCGCCAGGAAACGGGGAGAAAACCGTGTCATAGTTTCTCAGAAATGTAATTTTATCGTTTTCCGTCAGATACCTCATTTATAGCATTCTATTTTTTCCACAGAAAACAAAAATTAGAAGTGCACATGGCTTTTACCATTTGTTTCTTGATTTTCATTTTCACAACAAAAAACAGAAAACAAAATGGGAAGTGAACATGCCATTAACTTTGCTCAACCAATAAGGGTAAAGTTCAAAATGAACTCTCCACCATGAGAAAATTTCATAAAAAGAAAAAAATAGTTGTTTCCAATAGAAAAAAATTCAAAAATCATAAAAATAGTGTGAGCTTGAATAAGGCAAAGTTCTTAAAGAATATGAAGTTGATGATAGAAAGCATTCAAAGCTTAAATGTATATCAATCTCCTTCGTCACTTTTTCTCTACCCAACATATGCTCTTTCTCACTCTAAGCTCCTCCTCTTGAAATCTGATTTCTGCTCCTTTATATAGCTAGAAAGTGCAAAGTTCACGGTTTCCCATCATGGCTGTGAGGTCTAATGGATGCACACCATTTCACTTACAATCTTCATGGTTTGGGTGTAATCCTCACGATCTGAGGCCGCGATATTTGCAACTGCCCACAAGGTGACTTCGGCTTCGTGGGTCTCTGCAGACCTCACACTTTTTATGTTGATGTCACGGTCTGTCACCCGTGACATTTTCACATGCCCGTGAGATGTCTTCTTCCTCCTGTGATATATGCAATCTTCACGGTTTTGATGCAGAAGTCATGTCTTGGTTGTGAAGAAATGCCACGAAGCGTGATCTTTGACACTTTTCACCATTTTGTCCCATTTTGACTCCCTTTTGTTCGACTCTCGTTCCTTTTGCCAATTTCAACTACTAGAACGTGAAACATACTCAAACATGCAAAACCTAGCATAAACGGCTCCAAGGACGATGAAATTCAAGTTAAACGACCAAAAAAGAGAGGTATAAATATGTATAATTTGGCTTGAATCATGCCTTGTTTACTTTTTCTATGACATTAAAGTCACCCAACACTACCCATGGAATATCATCCCTTCGGCAAACTTTTGAATCCTTGTATAGTTGAGCCCTAGGCAACTCTTTATTAGGACTATATATTGTTATGACCATCTCTTTACTCTTGGTACTAACCTTCACATGCAAGAAATGCTCCCCTAGATTCCAAGTGATATACCTTGAGACCATTTATCCAGAGTAACCAAACCCGACCAGAAGCTAATTTGTTTTAATTATCCATGTATTCCCAATCCTTAAACGTGCTATAGGATATGCACCAAAACTCTAGTTTTCTAACAAAGCTACTAAATCAACTTGATATTTATTCAATTGAATACATACATATATGCTTGTTAGACGTGTTGAAACCCATAATATTCCATGACAACAAAACCGTTTATGCTTGCCCCTCTGATACCCTCTACAGGGAGCATGAGCTTTAGCCTTTACTACTTTGGCTTTGGACTTGACACCCAAACTGCTAGGTTGCTGTCCAGAACTGCTAGCTTGATGTCCAACATCCTAAACAATTGTCATTGATTCCATTACTTCTTTACCTTTGCCGTAATATGAAGTTGACTTATCACTTGCTGCTATAGCTGGTTTCGAGAGTGTAAATATCAACAGATTGAAGAATAAGTGCATTGGAAATTAATTTGGATAAAAAATATCAACAAAATTCTAACTATGTATCAGACATATAAAGCTATATATTATTCCAAAGAGCAACAATGATTAGTTACTCGGTGAGTTAAGAGCCAAATAAGTTCACATAAGAAAGAAAAACAAATTGGTGGCCATAGTTCCATATCTTGGAAACCTCAAGTTGGGTTGGAGTCTTTTTTTTTAACAACAAGGGCTCTGATTTGATTAGTTATAATAAAATCAGATGTGGTACAAAGTAGGGCCAAGCGCAATGAAGGAAGAAATAAAAATAACTTATTGACGTAAGGAAAGCCAAACTAAGCCCACAATGAAACAATCATTACTGCCCAAGACTTAAACAAAGCCCTTCCACAAACAACCTTAAAATCTCTAGGACACCCCAAAGTAGCCGACGTTGTGCTTCTTCCAAACTTGTTGGCCGCCACCCACAGAGCACATAGTCGCCGTCAACCTCTCTCAAGGATGACTAGAAAGCCAGGAACATTGTCGAAAGTGAGAAGCACCAAGAGAAGCAAGACGAGACCACACAAATCGGCGTATGAAGAGGGATGAGAGCCTCGACGATAGACCTAGAAAGCCTTCCCTACATCCAAATCTCCTTAACATTCATATCCACAGGCAATAAAAGCCAGGTCTTCTTCAAATCACAACCAAAGAATGGGTGAAGCAAGGAGGAAGATGAAGAAGTCAAAGAGGAGAAAGCAAAATTCAAAGCATAGCTTCACATCTCACTTTGTAACCCCAAAAAAGCCAATCAAGGTCTGAAGAAATCGATCCAAAGTAAGGGAGACCCCACGGAGATCTAAGAAAGACAAAACTGATGGAGAAAAGAGATCCCACCATAGGAAAAAGAAGACCCACAATAGGGAAAAGAGGATTCTACAAGGGGGAAAATAAGATCCCAAACTTAGAACGGAAAAGGAAAGAAACACAAGAAAATGAAAAGGAGCATGTAGGGGAGGGGTTACCGCAGGAAACCCAAGAGGTGTCGGCGGCAAGTAGGATTGAAGTCTAATAAATAAGGATCCACGTCTAATAGTTAAGGTATTATGTAGGGAATTAATTAAGGTTTCCTAGGATGCCCATTCCATTTAGTGTGGCAAAAGGGTGGGGCAGGGTGGGTATCTCAGTACCCATACCAGCCCAACACCAAGCGCGGCTTGGGGCGAGTAAAACCGCGTAGCTATGGGGAAAAGTGGGTTGACTCTTTCTTACATATATATTTGAAAAAAGTAACATGCAAAATTTTGTTCTTTTACGATAAAACTAAAGGAAAAGACTTTGTGAATGAAAATAGTGATAATAGAATGAGAATTGAGTCAAACTAGTTGAAAGATCAAGTTTAACTAGTTGAAGAAAATTCAAAATAGGAGAAATATGGATATATATTGTAAGACATTGAGAAAGAATGGGCAAAAAAACAGGCCGGAGCTTGGCAAGGCCAGCTAGAAGTAGATACTCATGCCCCGTTCCATGCTACTGCGTGTCGGGGATTACCTACCATACTACTCCAGGTCAAGTAATACTGGCTCCCAATGGGTCAGGTAAGGTAACACCGGACAAGGCGGGTTCAAATCACCATTCCCAATTCAATACTCTCCAGAATTGAGGACATGGGGCTTTTATAACATGTTGAGACTTATTGCTTTGGCAATGAATTTGGACGATACATATAAACTAATATTCTAAGTCATATAGCAAGCATGACTTTATTTCTTGTCAAAGGTCAACAATCATTAGTTAATCACTAAGGGGTCATTTGGATTAGGGAATGTGATGAGGGATTGATGAGGGTTTTTAAAACAATCCCTTATTGTGCAGGTTTTTAGAACAATGTGTTTGGGAAGATGAGAGATTGTGGGCATAAGGAAATTCGAAATCTCTCACATGAGGATTCTTGAAATAGATTATGGGGATCGGCTATTTCACAATCACTCATTTTTTTCTCATTCTTTTCCAAACTTTGCCCCTACCTTTGTTCTTCCTTCATCCCTGTTGTTGCCATTGACACCCACTCTCAATCAATATTCCCTTATTTCCTCCCTTAAACCGTCCATTCCAAAAAACATATTTTCCTTCCGTTAAAAGCTCGATGCCGCCGTCTTTGAAGAATTGTTTTGGCGATTGGAAGGTGGTTCTTCCATGGAGGAGGAGCAGATGAATCGTCCGGTGGGGACGACGAGAAGAGCGACAGAGGTTTTGGTGGGGTTTGGGTCGATTTCCGTCGTCGAATTCTGGTTTCCTCACGAGGTCGCCAAGAGGGCAAGGTCGCTCAGAGCCCCCGCCAACATCGCCGACGCCTATCTTTCTCTGATGGGTTTTGACCATCGCAGATGTGAATCAAATTTTGAATCGGAAGTAACATGTCTCTGGTTCGGGAGGAGCTAGCACTGCCGCCATAGTTCGTGTTTATGGTGGGCCTAGATGTGGGTGATTTTTAGAGACAGGGAGAGAACAAATTATGGGTTTCATCAGCCACTAGCTCCGATTGTTTTTTTTTTTGTTCGAGATAGTGGAAATAGGATGCAGAGGAAAGCGAAGAAGAAGAAGAAACAAATGCATATGCGTAGGAGGTGGCTTAATTAGGGATGGATATAATTATAATTTCGCCATTTTTATTAAAATCCTTCATCATTCCCAAACAAGTTATTTTGGATAAATTACACATTTAAATACCTAGATTTTTAATTGAGAGATTTTAACCTAGATCTCTCATTTACACATTCACTAATCCAAACAACACCTAAGTGTTTTGGTTGAGAAACCTAGGAGACTAAGTCAAGGCTAAAACTAAAGCACATTCATTGAGAATTTTTAAGTAAATGCATGTTAAGTCCTTGCTAATGTCCTAAAATTAAGGGCTGAGATCCTTCTCTGGATGGTTAAGTTGTTTGAGAAAGAGTCACAAATTTTTACTAGCATCAACATCAACCGTTTATTAAAGAAATCTTGTCCAATTCTTCCAACCCTAAGGTTCTGCAATCATAAAAACAAAAAAAAATTTAATCCTCTTTTCTCAACTGCTAATTACCAAAAAATGTTCTCTATCCATTATAATTACTTTTATTTTCAAACAAGTTAATTTTTTTTTAATCAGTTTCCTCTTATTAACTTTTAGAGAAGACATGGTGATATAACACCACACCTGATACAACGAAGCAGAGAGACCCTGAATAAGGTTCTTCCTGGTAGTACAGTTATGACAAACAAATTAATTGTCGTCATATATATGCGATACTTATATTAATCATCAATCACATATCAACATTACCGGTCAATGGGCCAGGTCCACCGACGGATCCAGGATTGGGTAGAGTACTGGGCCACATTGGAAAAAAAGACAGTGAGGACTGGGCCGTAACACGACGAACACGGAAACGAACACTAAAAATCGAAAATTTACAAGTGCTATACTAACTCCGTATCGAGGGAGGGCTGGGACGTGGCCGGGACGCCCTAGATCCGCCGCTGGCCGGGTCCTAATCTAGTGCAAATACCATTTTACAGTTCGATGCGTTTGGCCAAATGTATCGGCCGCCGGCGAGGAGGCCGTCATTAGGGATGACAAATTACCCACCCATGGGTAATTATACCCAAACCCAAGTAGACTCATTGATAATGGGTTGAGTATGGGTGAAGTGCATATGGATTTGGGGGTTTATAGATGGGTTTGGGGCTTCCATAATTTAAATGGATATGTGTTGGATATGAATATCCATTTACTTGAAGGTGTTTTAACTACACATGCAAAAATTGGACCTATTTGCAAAACTTGAAAAGTTTAGGTACCAAAATGTAAGACCAAAAAAATTTAGGTACCAAAACGTAATTTTCCATCGATATTTTGAGGACTTATATGCAAAAAAAATTAAATTTAGGTACTAAATATACATGTCTATTAAGTTTGGGTACCAAACTGTAATTTGTATTTGGGCATGGGTACAAACCCAAATCTATTTGATATAAACCCAACTCAACCCAAAGTAAATGGGTATGGGTACAAACCCATCAAGCTCTACCCATATCTATCTATTTGGATTTCATACCCAACCCAATTGAGTTGAATAGTAAAAAACACATGAGTATGGACAAATTTGCCATCCCTAGCCGTCATATCTCATATATGTGATTGCTCCAAGTTCAAATCCAACGCCCGCAGTCACGATTCACGAACCTGAAAAAAGACAAATTAAAAGGCCGGAAAGAGGAGGCCGTATATAAAAAGCTTTGACTTGGACGTTACTCGCCACGCAAATATACTCCGATTTCTCACTCGCTATAAAACCAACCAACTCCCTCGCATCTCTCGCTTTTTTTCCTTTCGAAACCCAAAATTTTTGCCTCGCACAAGCGCAAGCGTAATGAGGGAAGAAGCTATCAGCTCCGGCGGGACAATGGATCCCTCATCTGCGGCAGCCAGGTACCTAAGATCACACTTCGCTACTCCCCGTTCTTGCTCTCTAGGGTTTCGGTTGACTCACCAATTTTGCGTTTCTGTGGATTGACGTGGAAATTAGGGTTTAAAATCTGCGAGCTTTGGTAAATTTTAGGATTGAATTTTAGGGCTTTTGCTATTTGTCGCTGTTAAAATGATAAAGGAGTGAGAAACATTTGCCAATTCTTTGAGCTTTGCACGTAATGAGGGCCGTTTGTTAGGTGTATGGGCTCTTTCCTTGGAGCTAGGCATTTCGGTGGGTAGGTGACTATCATACTTCAGCTATATGGCGATTGATAGTTTTCGTGGCAGATTTGACTAAGATAAAAGGAAATGCAATTGAAACATTTACTTTCTACTTTGGTCTTCCATCTTTGTAAGTTGTGGTAGCTGAAAATTTTGTATTTTTGTTATGCCCGTGACTGAACTAAGCCCCGTCATTGCCCACAGCATGTTCCATACTGTTGAGGCATTTGAAGACTTCAATTATGGTAGAATGTTGCTCTTAGTTCATGAAAGTTGGTACTGATATATTCAAGCCTTGTGTCTGTATGACAGTAACTAAGGATTCTTTTTCTCGCCCTCTTTTTGACGAATTATTGTAGCCGAGGATTCTTGTCTTAATTCCTACATACCGAATATTAAATATGAATCTCAAGTCTGGCGAATTTTTTGTTAGGGTGAAAATGATTGCAGTACTCTAGCTAAGTGTTATAGAGAAATTAATTATGTGATATATTTTCAATTAAGCTGTATGTGTTTTCCGTGGATTGGTCTGCGCCTCACTTTTGGATGACAAGTCGGGTAGCGAATATTGTAGCTGTGAGATTCTTAGTCTTCTTTGTTATTGAAATTGTTATGGAAGAGAAGGACCACCATTTGCTTATTCCAGTTTTTTGTATTTTTTTTTTATGTTTGATAAAATGCCAATTAGGAGTATTGCACTTCTTCTTGCTCTTTTTCTTTTTCTTTATATTAGTATTATGTTTCCCAAGATTTTGCCATGAGGTTTAATGTGACTGGCTGGCCAATTGACTATGTTACACTTTAAGCTAACTTGAATGGCCTTAATATTCGTGGAAAAGTTAAATACTGAAAACCTTAAACGAATTGGAAATGTAAAGGTCTGATAGAGGGAGTGCTATATTTTCTCCTTGTCTGATAATTTTTTTTCAGTTTGTGGCAGCGTAGGAAGTCTATTTTGCATATTCAAATACTTTCCCCCATTTGCTTAGAGGGAAGGGTATGATTGTTGGATCTCAATCGAGGCCCTGCATTTCTCATATTTGGGGATGAATAAGTTATGGATCAGCTGAATATAATTACTGTACCTCTTTCACTTGTGTTTTGTCCATGCATCACCATGCTCCTTTTGTTTTCCCAAAATTTCTGAACAGAGTCTGTGCATCTTACCTTATAGTTCTGCTGGGGCGTCTTCACGTGCTGGACCTGTCAATGATGGCAAAAAACACAAGTCCAGTAATGCTCTTGATTCCAGCATGGCTTCTCCGTCTGGCATCCATTCTAAACAACCTGGGACTTCTAATCTTGGTTCAGCAAGACTTGCATGTAGGCCATGGGAGAGAGGCGATTTATTAAAGCGCTTAGCTACATTCAAACCACTAAATTGGTGTGGAAAGCCTAAGGTACTGTACCTAGTTGCTCGTAGTATTCTAGGGTCGATGTTGCCTCTTGTTTTCTTTTAAGCATCAGTCCTGCACTGTATTATCTCCTACTGCAAGGGAATACCATAACAGTTAGCGACAAAGGAAACCCATTTCCAGCATATGGATAAAAATTAATCAAATTCCTAAAGAACCACGAATCCATGAAAGAACAATTAAGGAGATTCTTCTGAAAAAATAAGGGTATTCTGGGTTACCAAACTGAATTGTTGCTTATTACTGGATGCCACCTGTGCATTCAAATATTAAAAAATCAGAAAAACTAACAGAACATGGTACGGCCAACTGCATAAAACTCAAGAATGTACAACTTTTTTTTTGTTTAGAAGTGCTAGAATCTTGTGAAGTTGTTGCTTTGCAAAAAGTAATTACAATTAACTTGATCTTCTTTAGACTTTGCTGCTACTTGCTAGTTTCTTTTTGTCTTTTAATTGGAAAGTTGGTTGAGTCCACATTGGGATTGAACGTCACTGTAACACATTTGGTAGGTTTGAGTTGTAGTCACTTTTCCTCACTTTTTCCACACTGCTAAACTTTGTTGCAACATGAGAACCACGTGCACCACCACCCCTATGGCCTCGTCAGGCTTCAAGCCTGTGATATGCTAACTGGTGCTGTAGTAATGAGCAACGCTCGGGCATTTAGATGCTAGGATTTTCGCCAGCATAGTAGTCATGGCCCTTGAATTTGTCTTTGAAACCATGTGGAGTTGGAGGTTTCTAATTTGCATGTGTTGTCGAAACAAAGGGTGAAAATGTTTTTGTAGCTTGAAAAATGTCTCTACTTTTGTAATGGATTTGCAGGTTACCAATTCACTGGCTTGTGCTCAAAGAGGTTGGATGAATGTTGGTGCTGACAAAATTGTTTGTGAATCATGTGGTGCATGTCTGAGTTTTGTGCTGTTATCTTCATCGTCTGTCGCTGAAGGTTAGTTATGTAGTAACGTGCTCCCTTCCTGTTCATATTTGTCTGATGAGGTCAATAGTTGAAGAATTAGCTGGCATGTCAATACTAGCTTTAAAATGAAATTTTCCAAAGAGTCAAGTCCATAGACGGATGCCCATATATGAATTCCAGCATAACTACGTTATCATGTAGATGTTTTCTATTACAGAGTTGCTTGGTTTTACCTGAATGTATCATTGGCATGTCTCTGTAAGTGAATGTGAGTCCAGTTGTCAGTAGACAAGGGAAAGGTAAGGAAGATCTTGTTGGCTATAGTCTGACTAAGCTTCGTACGTTAAATTTGCTCACTAATGCAGGTGCAAACAACATTTAACTCTCATTTTGGGGTACGATTAGGACATTGTGTTGCTCCCAGCATTCTACTAGGCTTAATGTACTATTATGTCATTGATGTATATTTTGGTTCATTGTATGTTGTTTTACTGTTGTCTATGAGTTGCATCAGCCTTGTGAATATTGACACGTGCTTTCTTCTTTTCAACTGTTCTTGTTTCCCTTTGAAATGAAGTTGAAGATGCTGGAGAAGCCTTTGCTAAGCAGCTGGATGCTGGCCATGAAGCCAACTGTCCTTGGAAAGGTCATAGCTGCCCTGAAAGCTTAGTGCAGTTTCCTCCAACTTCACAGTCTGCTTTGATTGGTGGTTATAAAGACAGATGTGATGGGCTTCTGCAATTTCAGTTACTTCCTATCGTTGCTGCATCTGCAATTGAGCTGATGCGGGTTTCTCGAGGTCCACTCATAGATCGCTTTCTGTCTGAGTCTCAAAATCTTCCCCTCGAAGGAGTTGACCTAAAGCCAGAGGGCTTGCAAGAGCCTGGAGATGGAGCCCTCTGTCCATATTATCGTGTAAGAGTAATATATGCATATTGGTTGTTACCGATCAATATGGTTGCACAATCAGTTATGAGCGATGTCAGACTTGTTTCTTTGTTTGTTTCTTCTGCTTTTGTAGGCCCAGAGGCTCATCAGTCTTTGTGGATGGGAACCAAGATGGCTTCCGAATGTTCAAGACTGTGAAGAGCATTCTGCTCAATCAACTCGAAATGGATTTTCTGTTGGGCCTGCACTGCAACAGGTTCATCCTTCGCGTGATCTTGGATTGAGCAATAAGGCACATTCAGCCAGAAAAGACAATGGGAAGAATAAAATGGTTGCTGGTGAGTCTAAATGTGATTCTAGGTCACCTTTATTGGATTGTAGCTTATGTGGTACTACTGTGAGAATACTCGATTTCTTAACAGTCCCTCGACCTATGCATTTTGCTCCAACTGATCTTCCTGATGGAAGCAAAAAATTGACCTTAACACGTGGAGTGAGTGCTGCTAGTGGAATCAGTGGGTGGGTTGCAGCTGATGAGGCAGAAAAAGGACAGGCTGAAGACCGTGATGAAGTAGCAACTACAAATGAGGGAAAGCTTCCAATGAATGCAGATGTCGATTTGAATCTTACAATGGCTGGGGGTTTATCTTTTACTCCTTTGGACAAGATGATGAATGATGATAACCAGGATGATGTGGATATGGGGAGAGATCTAATGATTGGTCAACCTGCTGGGAGTGAGGTTGGGGACCGTGCTGCTTCATACGAGTCTCGAGGACCTAGTTCTAGGAAGCGGAGCTTGGACATAGTTGGTAGCTCAAATGATAGGCGGCACTTGATTTATCCTGCTGATAGTGTTGAAGGAACTGTCATTGACCGTGATGGTGATGAAGTTACTGATGGGAGGCAGTTTTCTGCTGGACCTTCAAAACGTGTTAGTGATACAGAGTTTTTTGATTCACTCAGTTCATATCCAAGATACTCGTCTGGTGCTGGTCCAAGCCATTCAGTTGGTCTTGATATTAATATGGATGGAAACAGATTTAGTTCTTTTCGTCGAAATACTGACTACCAGGTCGCAGGTCCATCTACTAGGGATTCAACACGTGCATCATCAGTCATTGCCATGGATACGATTGGTCATGGTGGGGATAATGACTCTATGGAAAGTGTCGAAAATTATCCTGGGGATATTGATGATGTTCACTTGCCTTCATCGAGTACGTATGGGAATCTCGACATGAATGAGACTTCAGAACTGAATAATAGCAATCAGGCCCAGGTAAGCATTGGCTTCCGACCTGTCGTGGCACCAGGGGAAATGGGTATCAGTAGTACAAATGATGGTGAAGAGATTTTTAATGCTGGAACAGTCACAGTAACAGCTCAGGCTAGGGATGGGTTTAGTTTTGGGATTAGTGGAGGTAGCGTTGGCATGTGTGCTAGTCATGAAGCTGAAATTCATGGGGCTGATTTCTCGGTACATAGAGCAGATAGTGTAGTTGGTGACATGGAGCCTAGAGTTGAAGATGTTGACAACCAAGGTCAGACTGGCGAATCAGTTCCTGATCCCGGTTTAATGGACGAGATTGTTCCTGGTGAGATAAACAGGGAAGATCTTCATGGGGGTGATAGCCAGGAGATGTTGTCTCGATCTGCTGAAAGAGCTGATAGCGGATCGAAAGTAGATGGTTCAACTAAGGCAGACTCTGTTGAAAGTGGTGGAGAAAAGGGAAGTAGGAGCAGTAAGAGAGTAGCAACAGGAGAAAATGCCCATCCCTCTCTTTCTTGCAATGCCATTATTGACTCTGGCTGTGAAACAACGGTTAATAAGGGTAAGAAAGCTGGGAAATCCTCATCAACAAACAATGGTACTTGCATAGAATCAAACTATGCAGTTGCCAATGGGATAGGTTAGTTCTATTCACGTACTTTGTAATTGTTTGCACATGCTTTCTTATTTCTGGGTGCAAGCATGATTGCCACTCCATCCATTAGTATACTACCTTGATCAGGATTTCCGACTGATTAAGATGATGAACAAATCTTGTTGGAATCTGCGGTTTCTGGGTATTGTTCTAGTTGCCTTGTGATGTTTTGAACCTTAACTCCTTAATGCTGCATCTTGTTTTTTTTTTTTTTTTTGGTGGTAGAAGTCTTGTTGATATTTGACTAAGAATACTTGCTTGATTTCCAGATCCTCCAAAAGGCGAAAGCAACTATGAGGAACCTATGGAGTTCGATCCAATTGTTCATCACAATGAGTTCTGTCCATGGGTGAATGGAAATGTCGCTGCTGCTGGCAGCAGTAGCCACTGTCCTGGGAGCAGTAATGTTGTTGATATTGATGCCCTTTGTGGCTGGCAGCTGACTCTGGATGCGCTGGATGCAGTTGGATCTTTGGCTAATTTTGCCATCCAAACCGTACAGTCTGAATCAGCAGCGTCTCTATACAAGGTCAGCTTTCTCCTGCCAGTTAAAGCAAAAAACAGAGGTTCTCGATGCTGTTTGATTCACCAAAAGCCAGCAGCTATTATCTTTTTTTAAAATAGTTACTCCTTTTATTTGTTTCCAAAAAAGACAAGACGTGTTGTTAAACCTACTCCCTAGACATAACTTTTAATCAACTGTCAAACGCATTCCTTTCATCCTGTAGCCACCTTGCATGTTTTGGTATTCATAGTTCTTTGGGTACGAAATTCTAATGCTCAGTTCCATTATCAAACACATTCCATATCTCCTTCTGCACCTTTTTTATACAATCCCTACCTCTATATGTTTCTCTTTTTTCTTCTTCTATCCCTCGAACATTCCTCTAGCTTCTGAAGTTGATGATGACTTCTCCTTCAGAGAGATTCCAGTATAGTCTGCAATTGTCAAACACACTCCTTACCTTTTCAATCAAACACGCTCCTTACCTTCTCCTTTTGTTTCTTCTTTTTATACAAGTTCCTACTTACATATTCATCTCCAACTCCTTTTGAACAAAGTACACTTACACTATACCTTTACGAACAAGGGTTTGGTCTATGTGATAATACCACGACCTTTGAACCTGAGGGCTGAGGTCTCAGGTTCGAATCTATTAAATAGTATCTAAACCACTAAAAGTAAACCTACACCATCCTTACAAAAAAAGAAATTTACTATGCCTATAACCAAATGAAATTGTTCCATCTTGCAAGGTTGGGCTCTGGTTATTAACGTGTAGCTTTCTACTTTCTATGGTGTCAGTAATCAAGTAAATTTGGCTTCTCACAGGATGAACATCAAACTCCTGGGCAAAAGCTTATTCGACGACCTTCCGTGAGCAGAAGCCATGGTCAGCACTGAGATTACTTTATCGCCGTTGGTGATTATGAGAATGCAATTGGGTTAATCTGTTATCTCAATCTCAGAAATGGGAAAAAGGAAGACAAATCTGTGGATTGCATCAGGAATCGGGTTTCACATGGAGGTTGTTCTATTCAATATCTATCTGGGCTCTTCGAAGCATGCAAGGGGTTTATGCCCGGACGCTGGTTTTATAGCCAGCATAATGAATTGAACTCTTGTTTCCTTCTTTCTTTGCATCGTCACGCCGTTTAAGTAGTCATAGTATTGTCATCATTATTATTTGCTCATCGCCTCTCCTCAGTCAATCTAGATCAACGAAGTAGTGATGACTTGTTTAAGTATGCAGTCTTTGTATGTGGTTATATATCAAAGACGTTTGTTCAGCTAGGTTTAATAATAGGTCCGTTTGTTGGGTTAGGCTGTTTATTTGGAACCTTTTTTCCCCCTCGTCTATGGTGTAATTAGGGTTAATTGCATGCATCATTGGTCACCGACTTTATACATTCTTCTATGCTTTACCTGTGAAAAACATTATCTAGCATGACAGTCATTATCTCTACGCATTTTTTTCGTGTCTATTTCCTTTGTAGGAAATTTGATTGAATGAGTTAATTATCATCTATTAAATACAGTTGAATTATTTTCCTCTCCAATTTCCTAGTGTGTTGCTATACTTAAATGCTTTTGAACAATAATTTATTGATATGCTGTCTTTAATTAGAACTCAGAAGGAGAACCTAAAGATTTAATAGTAGCATACCACATAATTTATTTTATTGAATCGATACTAGAAATAGACGATTGTGTCATCATACATAGGGATGATATGTTCAGTTTGCGTTATAAGTTTAATACAACTTATAGCTCGTGACTTTCTCCTACTCCATTTTATTTTCTCTTCACACTTTGAACTCCCTTGA